AAACGACAGACAGACAGACAGACAGACAGAGAGAGAGACAGACAGATGGATAATTTCTTATTTATATATACAGAAATAAGCAAAAAGGAATCTCTCGGGAGATTTTATTCTTAGATGAAAATTCCTTCCGTCTCTTCCATTCTCCTCCTCCTCCTACTCTTCCTCCTTATCCTTTCTCCTACTTCCCTCGCCCTCGTCCAATCATCCACCTCTTCGTCCACTCCCTTTCCCCCTTCTCCTCCTCCTTCTTCTCGTCCTCCTCCACTCCTCTTCCTCCTTCTCTCCTCGTCATCGTCCACCTCCTTTATTCATCCTCTTCATCCTCCTACACTCCTCGTCCTCCTCCTCCTCTCTTCGTTTTTCTCCACTCCTCCTCCTCTTCCTCCTCGTCTTTCTCTCCCTCCTCTTCCTCCCCCTTCTCACCTCGTGCCAGGAAAAATAAATAAACAGAAAAATAAATCGGGAAACTTTTAGCAGGACAGACACTAATCCCGAATCCGGACCTGAAACCGAATCTGAATCTGGAATCGGCCTTCGGTTTTCACATTAAACACCGAGGATTTGGTTAGGTTAGGTTAAGTTGTGTTTGGTTAGGTTAGGTTATGTTGTGTTAGGTAAGGTTATAGCTTTGGTTGTATTGCGGTAGTTTAGTTGTGTTAAGTTAGGTTAGCTTAGGTTCTGTTGTGTTAAATTAGGTTATATTGTGTTAGGTTTTGTTATGTTGTGTTAGGTTAACTCAGGACAGGTTTAGGGTTAAAATTGTCAAGAGTAGACTAAATGAAATCACATAAAGTTAAAATTTGCTTTAACTTAGTTCCTAGATCTGGGAAGTAGCGAGGAAGTCTCAACCTTTCTCCACCTCCCCCCCAGAAAAAACCCCCGAAGCTCAGAAGACTTTTAATATCCCTAGACAGTATCGCTCCATGTTCCAAAAATTTCACGCTGGAGAATATCTTATTACGCCATTACAACAAGTTCCTATCTAAATCCTTTGGCTTAAGAAAGGTGTGTGGAAGGTAAAATACTCCCTAAGAGAGAGAGAGAGAAAGAGAGAAAGTGAGAGAGAAAAGTAGTGGTAGAGTAAATTGGTTTATTTATTTTTATCTTTGGATTAGGCGAGGGAATTTTTACACTTTTCAATACGATAACTTTACGCTCTCTTAGATTATATTGTTTACGAGTTTGATGATTACATTCGTATTATCACTCTCTTACTCCTTTCTCTTTTGTATCTCTCTTCTTTTCTCTTATTCTTGTCTTTTTTCCCTTTCTCTTTTTTATCTCTCTTCTTTTCTCTTATTCTTATCTCTTCTCCTTTTCTCTTTTCATGTTTTAATTTTACTTTCTCAAAACAACGCAATATTTTGAACCCCTTTTCCAATACGATAACTTTACGATCCTTGGTAGACATTGTTTATTTCTTTGATATTCATGGTCATATTTTCTTCCATGTCTCTGTTGATTATTTTTATTTTTGTTTATTTGGGAAACGTAACATATTTTTGAGTCTATTGGTCGACTTATTTGTATTTATCTGTTTTTGTAAGTATCCCATCGACCTATCCAACAAACCCTCATCCAACCATCCATCCCTCTGTCTATTCATCTAGCCATCCACCTATCCATCCGTCTATCCATCCCTCTGTCTATCTATCCATCCGTCTATCCATCCCTCTGTCTATCTATCCATCCATCTATCCATCCCTCTGTCTATCCATCCCTCTGTCTATCTATCCATCCATCTATCTATCCATCCCTCTGTTCATCTATCCATCCATCTATCCATCCCTCTGTCTATCTATCCACCCATCCATCCACCTCTAACTCGTGAAGAAAAGGGATGATGGAGGGAAGCCAAACTACCCCCTTGAGTAAGGATAGGAGGAGGGGAGAAGGGGGAGGGAGGAGGAAAGGGAGTGGGGGAAAGGGGAGGAGGAAAGGGGGGGAGGGTGGAGGGGAGGGTGAGGAAAGGAGGGAGAGGAGGGGGGGGAGAGAGAAGGGATGTTAAAGGAGAGGGTAATGAGGAGATTATGTTGATGGCGGTCGTCTGTCTGTCTGTCTGTCTGTCTGTCTGTCTCATCTCTCTCTCTGTGTGGCTGTGTCTGTCTGTCTCTTTTCAATCCCAAATATCTATCTTCTCCCTCTTCCTTACCCTTCCCCCCTCTCTCTCTCTCTCACTCTTCTTCACACCTACACCCCCCCCTCACTCTTCTCTCTCTATTTCTCACTCTCCCTCTCCCTCCTCTCTCACTCTCTCTCTCTCTCTCTCACACACTCAAGAAAATCGCCCCCTAGGGAAGGCATTTTTACAGCTTCTGTTTATTTTTCTTCAGCGGGAAAATCTTATAAATTTTGTTCTTTCGGTTTTCATAATTTTTTCCCCTAAACTAACTTCCAGGGCGTCAGATGTGTTTGTTTGTTTGTTTGTGTGCTTTTGTTTATTTGTTTGTTTGGTTGCTTTTGTTTGTTTGCTTTTGTTTATTGCTTATTGTTTACTCTTGTTTAGTTTGTTTGTTTTGTTTGTTGGTCGGTTTGCTTTTTTATTTGTTTTACTTGTCTGTTTATTTTGTTTTGTTTTGTTTTTGTTTTGTAGAATTGTTTTTGTGCGTTTTTATGCTATAAATTTTACGTAGTTCTGGCTATTTTTTTTTTTTAGAGTGGGCGATATTTTTTTGGCGATATTTAAATATTTCTAGTTAATCTTCGAACGATAATTATGGCGATTAATTTCTCAAGCGATATTTTAAAGATATTTAGGAAATGTTTTAAGGAGGTATTTTGTTATTTCTCAAAGTAAATAAAAAATCTAGCCGATAATTTTGGGCGATATTTACTAACGATTTTAAAGACAATTTTTAAATGTTTGTTTGGTTATGTTTCCAGCAAGTCTATGGGCGACTTATTATTATTATTATTATTATTATTATTATTATTATTATTACTATTATTATTATTATTATTATTATTATTATTATTGTAGCGATATTTCAACATTCCCCCCCCAAAAAATTCAGGCTTTATTCCCGCGACTTTTTTGTGTGTAGCGATTTTAAGAACGATAATTTGGCGATCGTCTGGATAATTTTTTGGCAGTTAAGACAAATATATTAGGATTTTTTTTACGGAAACTTGAAGTAATTTAGCTGACAGTCGTATTAGCTAACATTGGTACTAGTTGACAGTGGTACTAGCTGGCAGTGGTACTAGCTGACAATGGTGCGAGGTGACAGTGGTGTTAGCTGACAGTAGTACTAGCTGACAGTGGTACAACTGATGTTCATACTAATGACAATAACTGCTAGCTGACACTACCACTAGCTCTCACTGCTATTACCTCAGCAATGTGAATTGAAGTGAAGAGAGAAAACTGAGGTAGGGAGGGAGGGAGGAAGGGAAGAAAATGTAAGGAAGACGAGGAAGGAGAGAGAGGAAGAAGATGAAGAAGAAGAATTAAAGGAGAGAAGGAAAGGAAGGAAAATGGAAGAGATTTATGTGTGAGAGAGAGAGAGAGAGAGAGAGTCATACGTCTGGCAAGGGGGGTTACCTTAAGATCTATGACGTCACAAGGGTCAACACCTAGTGAGTGAGAAGCTGGCAACTCGCTCTCCATTAGACTTTAACTCTCACTCTCTTCCCCCTCTCTCTCTCTCTCTCTCTCTCTCACTTGTTGTCTCTAACCTAATTTTACTTTCTCCTTTCCTCTTTCTTTCACTATTTCACATTATCTCTCTCTCTCTATACATATTCATTCTCTCCTTTCACTCCACTTCTCTCTCTGTCTCACTTTCTCTTTCTCTCTGTAACAAGACCAACCCAGTCAACAATTTCTCTATGGTATAACACAAGTAGAAATTAGACACCATGATACGCTGTAGGTTAGGTTAGGTTAGGTTAGGTTAGGTTAAGGTTAGGTTAGGTTAGGTTAGGTTAGGTTAGGGTAGGCTTAGGTTAGGGTAGGTCTACGAGAATCCATCTTTGTGTCGTAAGTTAAGAGAGACACGAATTTAAGAGGACAATTTGACGCAAGAACTTGGGGAGACTTCAAGTGAGGTGACCTTGACTCACATACACAGGTAGACTAGATCCGTGAGAAACCTCCTCTCTCTCTCTCTCTCTCTCTCTCTCTCTCTCTCTCTCTCTCTCTCTCTCTCTCTCTCTCTCACTGTCTAGAGATCGTGTGAGGTACAGTAGGGTCTCTCTATTTCTCCTACTTTCTCTTATGCTATCTTAGTTGGGTATCTCTCTCTCTCTCTCTCTCTCTCTCTCTCTCTCTCTCTCTCTCATACATACACACCTCTCTTGCCATCCTAATTTTCTCTATCTCTTTGTCTCGCCTTCTCTCTGTGTCTCCTCTCTGTCTCCATCTCTCGTATACTGTCTCTTATCTCTTCAAGAGCCCTGACCAGGAAGAGCCTTACGACTTGAAAATAGAAAGTTTTACAAGACAATAAAACACAGACCACATCCCTCACACGCTCCCAAAGTATTATAGAAAGTATGATGGAAAAGTCTGATAGAAAGTGTGATGGAAAAGTCTGATAGAAAGTGTGATGGAAAAGTTTTATAGAAAGCGTGATGGAAAAGTTTTATAGAAAGCGTGATGGAAAAGTTTTATAGAAAGTATATGTGAAGTATTATAGAAAGTATGATAGAAAAGTAGCATAGGAAGTTTTATGGAAAAGTATAATGAGAATAAGCAAAGTATTACGGCGAAATTATGATAAAATATTGAGAAAGTTTAATGGAAAGTATAATAATGAAGTACGGTATAAAAAAAATAATGTGGAAAATATATGAGATTAATTGTAAAAAAAAAATAATAATTACGTACTGTACCAGAGAACGAATTATATAAATTGCATTAATAAAAAAAAGAGTATAAATGCAACAACAATAACAACAGGAACAAGTATAACATCAACAATAATAACAATAACAACAATAATAATAATAACAATAAATAAAACAATAATAATAAAAATAATAATAATAATAAATACCTTGTGTATGAAGTCTTTAATCCACAATACGAAGATCGTCTGAAAGAGAGAGAAAATAGAATTATTATGGAGAGGAAATTAAGAACAAAGATGAAAGAGAGAAGCTACTACTACTACTACTACTACTATCACGATCATGAATAAATTTAAGAATTCCCTTGTTTTCTCTTATTTATTTTTAGTCTTTTGATTTCTGGGAAGTAATAACGAAAGAGTAGAAATATGAAACGGTTCGCTCAGGTTGACAAGGCTAATGACAACTATGTTTCTCGCTAAAATGGTTCCCGCCAAAAATGTTTCCCGCCAAAAATATTTCCCGCCAAGATAGTTCCAGTCACACTCCTTTCCTCCAGCCAAAACGATCGCTGTTAAAATACTTCCCGCTAAAGTTATTCCCATTAAAATATTTCCCCTTCCAAACTAATGCCTGCCAAATTATTTCCCGCAAAATTATTTCCATCAAAACTTATTTCCAATAGAAATAATTCTCGGTAAAATAGTTCCCGCCGAAAAGTTTCTCTCTAAAATGTTCCTCACCGAAGGATTTGTTGCCATGGAAATGCTTGTAAATAAATGGCGCTTGTAGGAAAAAAAAATTATATTACAACCTTTTTGGGAAGGGAAACAGTCGTAAAGTTTGTTGTTCGCTGGGAGCTAAAGTTTACACACACACACACACACACACACACACACACACACACACACACACACACATATTATAAAGTCAATCTCACTGAAATAATAACCCCAAAATGAACTGTGGGTCCAACCGAGTTTCCAATTCATTAAACAAACAAATAATTTGCCTCCCAGTTGTCTACAAAATAATGTAAACAAGAGTTAAACAACAGGTAAACAACACCCACGAGGGGCAAACTTGATACACAAATTGTTTACAGTGAAGAAGTTTAGCTACGGTAATTTTTCCTGTCTAGCGACGGTCACGGGTCAGCTGCAGGGGGCCGGATACTACAGGGGGCCGGATACTACAGGGTTCCTATGTTGAATATTTTGTTTCCCTATTCTAAACTGAGGTAAGAGAACGCCTCTAGTTACGGTTGAGTTCTAGTTACGATCGTGTTCTAGTTACGGTCGAGTGCTAGCTACGGTCGAGTTCCAGCTACGGTCGAGCTCCATAGTAATTCCAGCGCCATATTTAGTCGATGTTTAAGTGAGCCAGTTAGATACGCTGTCGAGAGAGAGAGAGAAATCTGGCTTAGATGAAGGGATGAGAGGAGAGGGAGGAAAAGAGGCAGAAGAGGTGGGTGGAGGGAGAAAGTGGAGGAGGGACAGGGAGGGAGAGGAGAGGGTAGGAAGGGGAAGGATGATGGTTAATGACTTTAAGCCCAATTAAACCATAACCATAACCATAACATAACCTAACCTAACCATAACATAACCTAGCCTAACCAGATTCAATTTTCTTTGCTACTGAACAGATAGAACTGAGAAAGGTGGTTTGTGGTGACAGAGAGGAGGTGATGGTGTTCCTCAAGGTGTTACAGAGAGTAGATAGTGCAGTGAGAGAGGAAGAAGTGAGAAAGAAGAAAGGTTGGGTCGTCGGCAGTGAGAGAAAGTTTAGTCGTTGGCAGCAGGTGAGAAGAAAGCTTTGGGTCGTTGGGCAGTGAGAGAGAAAGCTTTGGGTCGTCGGCAGTGAGAAAAGAAGAAAGCGTTGGGTCGTCGGCAGAGAAGAAGTAAGTTTGGTCGTCGTTGGTATTGAGAAGGCAGCTTTGGGTCGTCAGCAGTGAGAAAAAAGACAGCTTGGTCGTCGGCAGTGAGAGAAGAAAAGCTTTGTCAAGTTGGGCAGTGAGAGAAGAAAGCTTTGGGTCGTCGGGCAGTGAGAGAAAAAGCTTTGGGTCGTTGGGCAGTGAGAAAGGTTCGGCAGTGAGAAGCTTTGGGTCGTCGAGCAGTGAGAGAGAAAAGCTTTGGGTCGTCAGGCAGTGAGAAAAGAAAAGCGTTGAAGAAAGTGAGAGAGAAAGCTTTGGGTCGTTGGGCAGTGAGAGAAGACAGCTTTTGGGTCGTCGGCAGTGAGAAGAAAAAGCTTTGGGTCGTCGGGCAGTGAGAGAGAAGAAAGCTTTGGGTCGTCGTGGGCGCAGGAGAAGAAAGCCAGTCAAGGGCAGTGAGAGGAGAAGACAGCTAGCTTTGGGTCGTCGGCAGTGAGAGAGAAGGTTTAGCTTTGGGTCGTCAGCAGTGAGAGAAAAGAAAGCTTTTTGGTCGTCAGGCAGTGAGAAGAAGAGCTTTGGGTCGTCGGCAGGAGAGAAAAGCTTTTGGTCGTCGGGCAGTGAGAGAAGAAAGCTTTGGGTCGGGTCGTCGGCAGTGAGAGAAAAGAAAGCTTTGGGGTCGGCGGCAGTGAGAAAGAAAGCTTTGGGTCGTCAGCAGTGAGAAGAAACTTTGGGTCGTCGGGCAGGTGTGAGAAGAAAGCTTTTGGTCGTAGTCGTCGGGCAGTGAGAGAGAAAAAGCTTTTGGGTCGTCAGCAGTGAGAGAGAAAAGCTTTGGGTCGTCGGCAGTGAGAGAGAAAGTTGGCAGTGAGAAAAAGCTTTGGGTCGTCGGCAGCAGAGAAAAGAAAAGCTTTTGGAGTCGTCGGAGTGAGAAAAACTTTGGGCGTCGCAGGCAGTGAGAGAAGAAAGCTTTGGGTCGTCGGCAGTGAGTCGTCAGAGAGAAAGAAGCTTTGGGTCGTCGGGCTTGGTCGTCGGGCAGTGAGAAAAGAAGCTTTTGGGTCGTCGGGCAGAGATAGGAAGAAAGTTTGGGGTCGTCGGCAGTGAGAGAAGAAAGCTTTGGGTCGTCGGCAGGAGGAGGAGAAGAAAGCTTTGGGTCAATGGCGTGAGAAAGAAGAAAGCTTTGGGTCGTCGGCAGTGAGAGAGAAAAGAAAGCTTTTGGGTCGTCGGTGGCGGTGAGAGAAGAAAGCTTTAATGTCGGTAGTGAGAAAGAAGAAAGCTTGGGTCGTCGGGCAGTGAGAGAAGAAAGCTGGGCTGTCAGGCAGGAGAGGAAGAAAGCTGGGGGTCGAGAAAGAAGGTGTTTTAGGTCGGCAGTGAGAAAGAAGAAAGCTTTGGGTCGTCGGGCAGTGAGAGAAAAGAAAGCTTCGGGTCGTCGGCAGTGAGAGAAAAGAAAGCTTCGGGTCGTCGGCAGTGAGAGAGAAGAGGATGGATCACCTTTTCTGACAATGGCACTGGGAGTCGTTGGCTTATATCCAACACGACACGACAGTATATGCGAAGCCCAACAAAAAATAAATAAAAAACACAAAGGAAGAAAAATAAAACAAAGAAAAAATTAAATAAAAAAGCAAATAAAAGATAAGAAAAGGTTTTATTAGGCTTAGGGAAAAGACAATTAAGTTCACATACGAAGAAATATTATTTTTTATGGATCACTTGAAGAATAGCTCCCCCCCCCCCTCCTCCTCCTCCCCCTTTAGAGGTTTATGTTGCCTGGAGATTAATCATCCGAACGCTATCTAATGGAGGTAGGAGGTAGGGTAGGAGTAGGGAATGATAAGGGAGTAATACTTAGGGGTAGATGAGACTAGGGTAGATGGTGAGGGTACTAGGGTAGTTGAGTGAGGGTAGGGTAGGGTAGGGTAGGGTACTAGGGTAGGGTAGGGTAGGGTAGGGTAGGGTAGGGTAGGGTAGGGTAGGGTACTAGAGTAGGGTAGGATTAAATTAAGTTAGGTTAGGTTTGTGTTAATTTTGGTTAAGTTAGATGATATCAGGTTAGTTTTAGATTAGGTTAGGTTAGGTTAGGTTACGTTAGGTTAGGTTAGGTGAGCGTTAGATTGCGTTAGCGTTAGGTTAGGTTAGGCGAAATTATTAGTGGTGTCTAAACCTCAGATAATCCAATGTTATTTATAGTAGGAGATTTACCTTCATGTCATTAAATTTATCAATAAACAACAAACACATAAAAAAATATAAGCCAGACATCCAACTCACCAAGGAGATAGGCCTCACTAGGGTAGGCCTAATCTTGATTGTGTTGTCAGAGAATGATTTTCAGTTTCTTTTTCCCACCCCACAAAAACCTAGTCACTGGGTTGGTGTAATACGGATCAGCTGCGTCGGTCTAATACGGTGTTTGTCTGACCGAATTTTCACTGTTCCAGGTTTAGGAAAAAGGACGAAATTATGTCTTTTAGTTCACATAAAATTGAAACACATCCAAATATATACACAGTTTTTATGATTAAATGTTCAGTAATTTTGACGACTTTTTAAAATATTGGGTCAAAGTTTTTAATTAATATTTATGAGATGAAATTTATTCGTCTATAGTTTTCAATTGTTTTTTTTTTCACATCACCATCAAGTTCAAACGTTTATAGTATCAGGTATTCAGTCATTTATACATTTCTAGCAACGTGTAAATTCTCTTTCCTTCTCACGTATATATATCTCCCAGCTGGTATATTTCTCACGGGAAATATATTATATAGACCTATGGTATATTCTGTAAGAGATATATAAAAATAAGTCCTTTTTTTATATATATTTTACTTTATATTAGAAAAGAGGGTTATTAAAAAATGCTAATTCAGGTTAGTACAGGTTTAAACGTCTCTACGTCATCCGTCACAGTAGTTATTCATCCGTCAGAGTATTCCTTCATCAGTCACAGTATTCCCTCATCCGTCACAGAACCTCTTCTGCCGTCTATTAATCACACTCCCCCCTCACCCGTCACAGTACCCCCATCATCCGTCACACTATCCTTACCCGTCACTACCCTCACCCGCCACACTATCCCTCACCCGCACTACCCCTCATCCGTCACACTACACCTCACCGTCACACTCTTCCCTCACCGTCCTCCCCCTCACCGTCACACTACCTCTCACCCCATTACCCTCAACACATTTTCTCCCTCATCCGTCATACTACCCCTCACCGTCACCTCCCCTCATCCGTCACACCTTCACCCGTCACCTCCCTCACCGTCACACTACCCCTCACCCGTCACCCGTCACCTCCCCTCCCGTCCTCCCCTCTTTCACACTACCCCTCACCCGTCACACTACCCCTCACCCTCCTCCCCCGTCACCCCCTCACCGTCCCTCCCCCTCCCCCCTCACCTCCTCTCATCCGTCACCCTTCACCGTCCACCTACCCCCTCATCCGTCACACTCCCCCTCACCGTCCCCTCCCCTCACCTCCCCTCCCTCACCCTCTCACCCGTCACTCCCCTCATCCGTCCCTCCCCTCAACCTCCCCCCCCTCACCACTCCCCTCACCCGTCGTCACCTCCCTCATCCGTCACCCTCCCTCCGTCACCTCCACCCCTTCACCCTCCCTCACCGTCCACACTACCCCTCATCCGTCATCCGTCTACCTCATCTCCTCCTCCTCGTCCACTACCCCTCACCGTCCACTACCCCTTCACCATTCTCCCCTCACCCGTCCTTCCCCTCACCTCCACCTACCCCTCTCCCTCACCCTTCCCCCTCCCCCTCACCTCCCCCTACCCCTCATCATCCCTCCCCCTCCTCATCCGTCCTCCTCACCCGTCACCACTAGCCCCTCATCCGTCCCCTCCCTCACCCCCTCACCCCTCATCCTCCCCTCCCCTCACCGTCTCCCCCCTCACCCTCACCCCCTCATCCATCCTCCCCTCACCCGTCCCCCTCACCTCCCTCCCCCCTCATCCGTCCGTCACCCCCTCACCACCGTCACCTCCCCCTCATCCGTCACACTCCCCCTCACCCGTCACACTCCCCCTCATCTATTAATCACACAACTATTCCACAGTATTAGACATCTCCTTAATCAACCAGATGGTGACGGCGGCGCAGAAAGAGTCTAGTTGAGCAAGTGGACTAAGGAAGGGGTGAGATGTGGTCACAGGACGGGCGAACGGTGACCCCTTCCCTGGAATAAACGCCAGGCGAAAGGATGAGGCAGAGATAGTTAAATTTATCACTAATTAATTCTCGAGTCTCGGTCACCTCACCACACTGTTTTCCACGTGAAGGGGAAACTTGTGTATATCTGTCACGTTCTTCCTAGTAATCACCCTTCACTTTTAATAATCGTTTCTGAGAGTTCCTCGTTCATTCTGTCTTTCACTATGTTTCTGAGACAGGAGAGCGTCGTAGGGAGGAGGTGTGACTGTCGCCGTGAGGGGGCAGCCACATCCCAGGGCAAGGAGATGAAGCGAGGCGGGGCGCTCACTGCCCCTCACGGGTACCCACTGAGAGGGCCGTCGATACGCGTCCACACTCGCCCGCGGTCTGAGTGCCACTGTCAGGGCTCACCCAGCAGACGCGCGCCCACACCTCCCCCCCCTCCCCTGCCCCCCTCAATGCCTGCCCCCTCAACACCCCTTCCTCCTCCTCCCCAATCTCTCTCTCTCCTCTCTCTGTCGCCGCAGAAAGTCAGAGAGAATTCTCCCGTGGCGGCAGCTTATGGCCCGCTTGACCCCACTCGACCATTTGGTAACTCTTTCGACGATTAGAAGGACTTCGATCCGCGTTCTGTCGGGTTTGGAGGAGGATTCGATCCCTTGGAGGAGTAAAGATGAGGTGTTGGAAGGTGAATCAGGACCAGGGAAGGATTCTTAGTGTTTGGGACCCGAATGACCCTCTCTCGATGACACCAATTTTGGCTGAGGGTGGCGTCGTCGTGGTGGGACTATTGGGAGGGAGATGGTGACGTCCACTGCCTTTACTGTGTCCTTTCCCTCCTTCCCCACCTTCACTATTCCCCACCACACCCCTCCCAGCACCCCACCTTGACCAACTCCCATCTAAACCCACTCCAGCCCCAACGTTGACCAGTCCCCCTCTCTCAGTACCCCACCTCCCTACCTGGGGACTGGGGATGCACACGTCTGGTCATGAGAGGCAGTGAATGACGTCTAACACACACGACTGTCTGGGCACGATCCTTACTCTGTGTGTCCAATTGTCAGTTCATTTTACGTTGTCTCTCTCTCTCTCTCTCTCTCTCTCTCTCTCTCTCTCTCTCTCTCTCTCTCTCTCTCTCTCTTCTCTTTCACTTCATCTCCTTTCTCTCACTTCCTTATAAACCGTCTCTCCCCTTTTCCTCACTTCCTTCCCCTACCCTCCCTCCCTTCCTTCCCTTACCCTCCCTCCCTTCCTTCCTTCTCCTACGCTCCCTCCCTTCCCCTACCCTACCTCCCTTCCTTCCCTTACCCTCTCTCTCTTCCTTCTCCTACGCTCCCTCCCTTCCTTCACCCCTCCTCCCTTTCCCCTCTCCTCTCCTCCCTCCTTCCTTCCAACATCACTCTCCTACCATCCTTCACTATCCTACCTCCCCCCCCCTCTCTAACTAACCCGGCATCATCAATAATCTCATAATTCATCCATTTATTAAGGACGTCTATGAAAAACCTTGACGATCCTTGAGGGAAAATATGTCCGAGAGAGAGAGAGAGAGAGAGAGAGAGAGAGAGAGAGAGGTACGGTAAGTTATTCAAATAAACTTATTTTTACGCATTAACAATGATTTATTTTTTCAGGTCTATTTTTAATAAGTTTATTTTTATTCGCGGTTAAGAATTTTATCGGGATATAAAAGATAAAAAAAATCGCCATAATGGAGTTTTTTCTTTACTTGTTTGCTTTTCCGATGCATAAATTTATTCTTTTTATTTGGGTAAGGATTGAAATATATCTCTCTCTCTCTCTTTCTCTCTCATGTTCCTTTCAATCTCTCTCTTTTGCATCTCATCTCTGCTCCCTCCCTCCCTCCCTCCTTCTCTCTCATTTGTCTCCCATTTTCCTCTCTTTCTCTCCTTTGCCTCTCATCGCTGCTTCCCTTCTCCTCCCCCCCCTCCTTCTACCTCCCCTCTGTTCCTCCCTCTGTCTGTCTCTGTCTCTCCCTCATTTATCTCTCTCTCTCTCTCATTTGTCTCCTGTTTTCCACCTCTTCTATACTTTCTTTCACCTTTCACTTTTCTCCTCCTTTCTTGAGTCATTTCTTCACTCTCTCTTTTTCTCTCTCTTTTTCTCTCCTCTCCTTCCTCTCCCAGTACCTCTCTCCATTCCCCCTCTCCCCACACCTGTTTCCCCTCTTTTCCTTTCCCCACCTCTCTTCCCTCTCCCACCCTCTTCCCTCTCCCCACCTCTCCCCTCTCCCCACCTGTTTCCCTCTTTTCCTTTCCCCCCACCTATCTTCCCTCTCCCCCACATCCTCTCCCATCTCCCCACACCCTCTCCCCCTCTCCCCACCTCTCTCTCCCTCTCCCCACACCACTCTCCCCTCTCCCCACACCTCTCTACCCCCTCTCCCCACACCTCTCCCCCTCTCCCCTCTCTCCCCTCTCCCCACACCTCTCCCCACCTCTCTCCCCTCTCCCCACCCTCTTCCCCTCTCCCCACACCCTCCCCCTCTCCCCACACCTCCCCCCCTCTCCCCACACACTCTCCCCTCTCCCCACCCCCTCTCCCCATCTCCCCCACCTCTCCCCCTCTCCCACCTCTCTCCCCCTCCCCTACTCTCCCCCTCTCCCCACACCTCCTCTCCCCTCTCCCCCACACCCCTCTCCCCCTCTCCCCACCCTCTCCCCCTTCCCCACACCACTCCCTCTCCCCCCTCTTCCCCCTCTCCCCACACCACTCTTCCCTCTCCCCACTCTCCCCTCTCCCCACCCTCTCCCCTCTCCCCACCTCCCCTCCCCCTCTCTCCCATCTCCCCCACCTCTCTCCCCCTCTCCCCACCTCTCTCCCCTCCCCACTCTCTCCCCCTCTCCCCACCTCCTCCCCCACCTCTCTCCCCCCTCTCCCCACCCTCTTCCCCTCTCCCCCACCCTCTCCCCCCTCTCTCCCCTCTCCCCCCCACTCTCCCCTCTCCCCACCTACTCCCCTCTCCCCCCCTCTCCCCTCTCCCCTCTCCCCCTCTTCCCCTCTCCCCTCTCCCCCTCTCCCCACCCTCTCCCTCTCCCACCCTCTCCCATCTCCCCACACCTCTCTCCCCTCTCCCCTCTCCCCTCCCCACACCCTCCCCCCTCTCCCCCTCCCACCCCTCTCCCCTCTCTCCCCTCTCCCTACTCTCCCCTCTCCCACCTCCCTCCCTCTCCACACCTCTCCCCCTCTCCCCACCTCTCCCCTCTCCCCACCACTCTCCCCTCCCCCTCTCCCCCACTACTCTCCCCCTCTCCCCACACCTCTCTCCCCTCCCCACCTCTCTCCCCTCTCCCCACCCCTCTCCCCCTCTCCCCCTCTCCCCTCTCCCCTCTCCCCACACCCTCCCCTCTCCCCACCCTCTTGCCCCACAGGGCCAATCGGGCGGAAGTAGTCAGTTGTGTGGAAGAGAGAGAAATTACTTAAGCTGCAATATCGTTCACGCCGGGGAGAGGAGAAGGGGGAGGGAGAAAGGAGAAAGGGTAAGAAAGTGAGAGGAAGAGGATAACAAGAGAAGGGGTAAAAGGGAGGAGAGGGGATAGAGAAATTGAGGAGGTGGAGGTGTTAGGGAGAGGAAAGGATAAGGAGAGAGGTAAAAGGAGGAATGAAGGAGAAGGGAGGAGAAAATAAGGGGAGAGGAAGAAGGGAAGAAGGGAAGAGAGGGAGGGAAGGAGAAGGAGGAATAAAGGAGTGAAGGAGGAAAGAAGGAAGGGAAGGAAAGAAAGATAGGAGAAAGGAGTGGGAGGAGAGGAAGAAGGGAGTGGGAGGAGGGAAGGATGGTAGGGGACCGTGAACCTAACCTAACCAACAGTAGAGGAAATAAAGGTGATCGAGTACAATGCAAAAAATAACTTAATCTAATAATAAAAAATAATGTAAAATGTATCGTTTGTGGTTGTTGAAGGCGGTAAATATAGCCATTAATAACTTAGATGGTTAGTTATGGTACAGTATTATAATTCTTTGTAAGTATTATGTAACTAGAGGCTGAGTTATTATAATGCTTTTCTAATGTGGTTTCACTTCGTTGTTGTCTTGAATAAATTATCTTTTATCATTTGTCTCTTTTTTCCCTATTCTTTATTTTTTCTTATTCTTACTTTTCCTATCTCTCTCTCTCGTTTTCCTCTCCTTCCCTTTGGCTTTCTCATCGTCCTTTTCTCTTTCTCTCCCCATCCCACCATCCTTCTATCCCTTCCTCATCCTTCACCCCTTCCTCTATTCTTCCCCTCCTTCATCTCTCCTCCATCCCTCTCCTTCTCCTCTCTCCCAATCCCACCATCCTTCCTTACCTTCCCCCCTCCATCATCCCTCCCCCTCCCCCTCCTCCCCTCTTTACCTTCATCACAACCAAACACATTATGATGACCTAAATTAACATTTTCCAGTATGTATGTGTGTCTGTCTAGGGAGGGAGGGGAGGAGGGGAGGGGCAGGAGGAAGGGGAGGGGGGCAGGGAAGGAGAAGGGAGGGGAAGGGAGAGGAGGGAGGGGGCAGGAGGAAGGGAGGGGGCAGGAGGAAGGGAGGGGGAGGGGCAGGAGGAAGGGAGAGGGAGCAGGAGGAAAGGGAGGGGCGAGGAAGGGTGAGGGCTCGTTACATATTTCTAACATTAATAATAAACTACTAAATCCACTTTACCTTTGAGAGAGTAATTAAGGTGATGTTAAAGTGTTAAAATAATTATCTCTACTCATTTATCAAAGTTATTTTATCATCTACGAGTTATAAGTAAGCTTTATGTATGTATGTATGTATGTATGTATGTATGTATGTATGTATGTATGTATGGGCGACAAATAACTGGCACATGACACTCAGTAGTCTCAGTATAAAGAATATATGTATCTCCACTGTATTATGTATGATATATGATGTATAATACTATATATATATACATTAAGTTTAAATATATATCAGTCTCCCCTTCACCTTATAAGCATCTAACTGGGACCCCGTTTTCTTTAATTTATTTTTTTCCACATTATAAATTTTTAATAAACCAACAAAGAGTTTATTTACGGTACTAACACAACAGTCGCCCTTCATGCCTGTGAAGTAATATATCGCTAAAGTTTGTATTACTGTACCTGAGAAGTTGTGGGTACAGCGGTTGTATTCTGTTGGTTGTATCTTGGGGGGTGAGGTTGAGGTCTGGCTAATGGTTGTATCCTGAAACTGTAATTGGATTCATTAGTTATATTTTATTTTTTTTATTTTATTTTTCTCAATATGTAAAGTCATTTTTATTTGCCATAGGTGTTCAGCTCTGATCATTATTTCCAACACTACAGTGGCATTATAGAGATTAATTATAGAGATTAATTTCCTCCCGTCATCACATCTATCATCGTTATTCTTTCATACT